ATAGTCCTATAAATAGGACTTATGAGGTTAATTGTAATGTGTGTGGAAGTGAAAGGTGTTCTACTATGTATGAAAATCTAGGCCCTTCAACCCATCAAAGTACTCCTCCAACTATTGATCATCAAATGTATGATTTCCTCGTATAATGTCTATGACTCAGAAAGAAAAGAAAAGGGTATGCTGTCACAATGAAGTTAAAATGTAATACCTGTAATTGAAAAAGACACTTCGTTCTTTCAACCTGAACCATACAAACAGCTAGAAGTTAAAATATATACCAAATCTATTGTATAAAAATGACATGAAAGTTCAATTCTCAAAAGAAAAAATGATCATGGTTGCATATGAATATGAACTTTTCATATAAAAGCAACATGGTTTCATAAGTATGGTGAATTTCATGATATTGAGAAAAATGAAATTTACCTTATGATACTAGCTATTTCTGGTGACAATATATCACGGCTTGAATATGTGAAAATGGAAGATTTTTCTTTAGCCCCATATTCTTCTGCAGTCACTTGGACTTGTAGTTTATGTGTTGTTTTCTTTGGAAACCAGCAGAATATGCAAAACAAAAAAGAAGCAGTTAATACAAAGTTCAAAGAACTAAGTCTTAGCCCAATGAGCTTCACACAAGTTTCAATGATAACTTCAAGATTGGATAATGAGTTTTGCCAGTAATTTGTAAGAAATATCTAAATATGTAATCTGTAAGAAATATCTCTAATAATATATTGATAGTCGTTCAACGTTCTTAAAGACGTAGACACAATTATGAAAATATCGTTAACAAATACTCTTGTGTTCTTATACGTTTTTTTGTTTTCGTTTTACATATTTGATTGCTTGTTCCGGACACATGAACCTAGCTAGAAGTCCAGTGTTTTAAATTAAATTGTGGTTGCGGTCGCAATTGCGGTAACGGTTGCAGCTACTGCGATTGTGGTCATTGTGGCCATTGCGATGCAGATTGTGGTCGTTGCGGTGTGAATTATTTTATTATTAAAACAATATTTTTGAATATGATGGGCCTGATGCGGTCCGAATGCAGCCCAATGCGGTTGCATTGCGGCCCGATACGGCCGCATCATTGTGATTCGGAGTCACACCACAATTGCGGTGTGATGCAGTTGTGGCGATCACTATAACCGCAATATTTCGCCTCATCGGATGATGCAATCGACAATTTATATGACTGGCTAGAACTAACCTTCTCAGAATTACAAGGATCTTCAATTGACATAATCGAGTCTTTCCCTTCAGTCTGTAAAATAAGAAATATGTAAAGTAGTATACATATAGTAATCCAGAAGAATAGAGGAAAGGATTTGAAATGGATTTGAGTAAAAAAATCTTAAACACAGTAAATTGGTGCAAACTTCTCTACATTATTCTAGCAATGCCTTAGAACAATTAACATAAGTACTGTCTAAATGTAAATGATGTAAAATAAACAAATAAGAAGATAAAAAGTTATTTATATATTAGTCTATACAACACAGAAACAATATATCAAAATATAACAACTACAAAAGTAACAAAACCAATACCCATAGAATAGAGTATCCTTTAACTTGGCACATAATAAAAACAATTTTAGTCATAAGCCTTTTATACCTTAATATAACATGGAGCTAAATCCATTGTGAAATCCGTCTCTGCTTTTTGACTAGAAGCAAAAGTTGGAGAACAATCCCATGTAGAATAAATAAACTCCAAAGATGCTTTCCCACATAAGCATAAATCTCTGAACATATCTGTCAACACAGAATGAAATGAGAAAGGAAGATGAATGAATTCTAATACTGAAGAATTTTTTGAAGGTTTACAAGTCATATTACAATGATTTTCTCCATAGTGAGACATATTTCTTTTAGAGCATTGTTAGCCAGCTGGAATTTCGGGATATGCACTTAGAACAAATAAATTTGAAGACCCTATTTTCCTATGATGACTTAGAGAAGAAAATTTATATGACATGTCTAAAAGGTTCGGTGCAGGATAGAGCCATTTGATTCTTTAAGTTAAATAAGTCTCTATATTGGTTGAAGCAATCTCTCAAGAAGTCATACATACGTTTTTACACTTATTTGCTAAATTTTGATTATAAGCGTTATGCTTAATTGAGAAGCCTTAATTACACTTATACGTTTTTACACATTTATTTTTCTGTTATTTTATGTTGATGATAGTGCTATCTTAGGGATTGAGCAAGGTAGGTAAAGTTCGGTTGCATTATGACAATTATTTACATAGCAAAGAAATAGGTATATCATGTTAGAACCAAACATATTGATGCGATATTTTAAAAGATCATAGAGTTAATAGCTTCTAAGCAAGTATTATCGTAGAACACCTCATAAAATGTAGTTGATTTTTTACCAAGTCGATTAGGATACATGAGTTCAAGCATTGCATGAATTCATTGAAGCATATCTCAATTAAAGCATATAAAAGTATATAAAGTATATAAAGCATATAAAAGTATATTAAAGTATACTTTTCCACTAAAAAGAAAAGTATATAAAGTTAATAACATATAAAAGTGGCTCAGTTAAAGTATATCTCACATTTATCAGAAGGCACCAGGTCAGCATTGGCTTCACATGATGAATTTTTATCTTTAACTGCAAGCAGAAAATTAACAAAATGTTTAGTAAAACTTGAAATATTTCTTTAAATCTACATTGTATTGTATAAGCATAACCATACCAGTGGTGAAAACCAAGATATAAAGTGAGCCAGATTTTGCCTCCTCAGTAAACTTATTAATTTCAGGAAGGTTAAACATTGCATTGACAGTATCCCCATCAATCTCAGAAGAATTTTGAAACCTGAACATCCCGCTAAGTTGATAATCAGCATCAGCACACTGTTTTTGTTTGCAGTAGGTTAAAACAGTAAGTATTATGCAGCAGATACATTTATTAGAAAGAAATTTATAGTTACGAGTCTATTTGCGAGTTGGGTTATTGAGGTAAATGAAGGGGAGGGAAAGACTTGAGAGTCATGAAATATACTTGTGGGATGACTCTGAAATTTTCTCTTATTGTTCATTATCTTCTAAAATCCAACTCGCAAACCAACACTAAGAAACTGTATCAGTTATTAAAGGTTAAGAGGTACTGTTCTTACCTCTTCATCATTGTTGTTTTGAAACTGTCTTCCCAGACAGACATACAAAGGTACAGCATATTTCTCAGTTTCGTTCATTCTCAATGACACAGAAACTGTCATCTTTATCCTGAATATTCAAATGATATATATCATATTAGCATCTCAAAATAAATGTTTAAACAGAAGTACTAATCAGCAAAACTAATAAGGCAACAGTATAATGAAAATAATGACCAAAATGAAATCACTTGGAAAAATATATCAATACATGAATAAAGGTAAAGGGAAAAGGTATAACAAGGTTCACATAATAGAAACCTAATTCATCTTTAAATCTTATCTTGTGCTAACAAGATTGCAAGTTAATTACTCTAGGATGATGAGGTAGGTCATCAAGAACTATTGTGCATGCATTATACATCAGGTGTGACCAAGAACTCGAGACACTGCTATTGAATGTAAGTCTCGCATTGCTTGGTTCATTCTTAGACATGATTTAAATACAAGTTTGACTACTCTTCTAATTTTCAATTGATTTTAAGATAAAAACTTAATATGATATCAAAGTTATAGTCCAACTTCTCTCCAGTTGCTATGAGCTAAAAGCTCTTACGCATGATTTAAATAAATATTGCAATACTTATAAGCTTTTAGGTATGGTTGAAATACATACTGCACTATGGGGATGTCAATTGGCCTCAATGTGCAGCAATTGTCTTTCTCATCCTGAAAGACTCACAGCCTTGAATCTATGGGATTGGCTTAGTAGTATTTTGTAATTTTCACATTGAAACTTCCTCAATTGATAACCTATTTCTGGGCTACAATGGGAGATGGAGTCCCTAGGTGAAGGGTGTTTTGGAGGCTGCCATAATCCACACTATCAATACAGTGTGGTTTTGTAGGAATTTAAGCAGATTTGAGAACAAGAAATTTTTTGTGTTGCAGGCAAAGTAGAGGATTAAGCTTGCTACTTCCTTTTCTGGAAATAATTCGTCATTGCTCACCAATAACTCAGTGGATAACTTTATGATCCTGCGTGAATTCAGAGTGAGACAGAACTTCCAGAAAGCTCCCAGAGTTAGAGAGGTGGTCTGGACTGCTCCTCTTGAGGGGTGGATCAAAATAAACATCGATGGTGCAACTCATGGTGCACCTGGTCTTGCTGGTGGTGGCTGTATCTTCAGGGATAGCACTGGTAGCTTTAGGGGTGGATTCGCAGCTTTCTTTGGGATCACAGATTCCATGATGGCTGAATTGAAAGCAGCCCTTATGGCTATCGAGATTGCTTATAGGAATGGGTGGAAAGACATATGGCTTGAGTGTGATTCGGTGTTGGTAGTGGACATATTCAATGGGAAAGGAAAGATTCCTTGGAAGTTAGCTTACAAGTGGCATACTTGCTTGGAGTGGATTTCTTCAATGACATTCAAAGCAACTCATATCTATAGGGAAGGTAACACTTGTGCTGATAAATTAGCAGCATTTGGTGTCTCCTCTAAAGTGTACACATGGTGGAATTCTACTCCAAGATTTATTCTTGAAGAGCTTAACAAAAATAGATTAGGATTGCCTAACTATAGATGTAACTTCTTGTAATTGGTACTCTACTATCTTTCTAATATATTTGGCTGCAGTGTTTTATTAAAAAAATACATACTGCACTATTTATCTGATTACCAACTTGTCTTGAAGATGAAGGTTTCTATGACACACATGAGGTTTGTTACCCTAATATATGGTATTAAATATACATTATATTCCTAAACCCAACATAACATATACATCCCCTTTGGCATGTGACATATAATTGACAATTTGACATAACCTGTCAAAGAAAAAGAAGGAAATAGGAGAAAGAAGACACGGCATGATATATTTTACCTCTTGTTCCTAGCCTTTATGCGGTAGTTTAAGCATCTGTTCAGGAATGATGCCTGCAACACAAGAGACATGTACTCTATTGGTTAGAAGATAACAGTGAAAAATATTTGATTATTAATGGACCATATATCAGGAATAACCTAGAAAAATCACATAACATAATTTAGCTAATAAAATAGACTATACATTTTCTTTAGCACGAAGCATAAGACAGTTGTATAACTCAGTAGGCTGGCAATAATGTTCGAAGCTGGCTTCTGCATCAATCGCTTCTCCATCACGTGAATGTTTAGTACTTGAACGACTTCTCTTTGTTATGCTTCTCAATTTTCTGCAGGGTCAAACAAATATAAGCATTGTTTATGTTACACCCCTTTAGAAAATAAAGTTATAGTTGTTTCCCTTTTTGGGAAACTATGAAGACAAAGTTTGAGTTTGACACATCTGGTGTAAAAGAGAACATACAATGATGGTTCACCAAGTTCACGTTTAGCTCCTTTCATTCTGGTTCAAATCTTGAAGTATGTGAAGTTTTCTCAGGCAATGAATCTACAATTGAAAATTATGTAAATAAGTTATCAATATTCAATACTAAATGCTGCAAATATAGTAATTCTGACAAGAGGAATCATTGAGCATCAAACAAATAATACATATGATTTCAAAAGTTAAGGAAAACTACCAAGTTTACAACCATTCCATGAGCCTTTAAGTTAAGGAAAACTAAACCAAAATTGACAAATATAACACTTAAGGGAAGAAAGAGTGCATGTTTATGCAGCAGATGCAGTGTTGCATATACCTCTGCGGATGTTAACACATGAATGGAACAAAAAGTTTCAAAGAAACCCTAAATTCTCTTCTCTCACTCTCTCTCTCTATATATATAACCCTTTTGTAAGTCAAAGCTTAGTCTTCTATTTCTTTTCACTGTTATTATGGAGGATAAAATACTCATTGTGCATGAAGAATGCTGCATTGTGCAACATCAACAGTAACAAAAACAACCAAAGCATACTCTCTACAAGATAATATGGAAGGTGTTATGAATTTTGTCTCTCACAATAAAGTGTCAAATGATAGGACTAAAAATCAATATTAGCACCAATAAAAATATTACAACCTTTGCAAAATGAATACATTTATAGTTATGAGGGCCTAAAATAAAATAAAAATATTTAAATTCATTAATGTAGTAAATTAAGAAAATTATAATCTACTTATTTTATTAACTCTCATTATTCTACTCATGTATAAGAGATTTTTTAATGGATATTTATAAAAGAAAATTAAAAAACATGAAAAATTGTGATGGCTTCAAGTTTTAGATATGATTATCAAGCTGATTAGGACATTAAACCGGAAGAGATAATGTGTCATGTTTAACCGGTTTAAATGGTTAAACCGTCCAATCAAACCGAATGATTTTATATATAATTAATAATAATATATAAATATATAATTATATATAAATACAAAATTTTAAATAATTAATAATTATGTATAATTATATTAAATTGTTATTTCTACATCTTTTTTTACTACTGAAGTAAAATAAAAATATTACAAATCGAAATTCCCTAGTTTAAAATGGTTAAAACCCTCATTCTATTAAGAATATAAACCATAATTGTTTTCAAGTATGGTCAGCAGTAGAACCGGTAAGACCGTTTGATCTTGTCCTCACAAAAATGTGATTAACACTAACATTTAAAGATTATAATACACTAATAAAATATTACCAAGGAATGTGCAATTTTCACAATGTCTATATATTGGTTAAGGTACACAAATGTACTCAGTACAAAATCCCTAGAAATGTAACCCAAGTAATAAACTTATTTGGGCTAATGTAACCCAATTATTATGAATAAAGAAAAAAGAAATAACTTCAATATTTGAGTACAAAAGCAATTGCTTACAAGATTACAACAAACGAAGGAAACAATCACCCCCGATCCAAATCAAATATTATCAACAATTGAAAAAAAAAATGAATAGAATGAAAAGAAAACAGTTTTGAAATATAAGATTTAATTCAAGAGGTCAAACTCTACATTCATTTCTTAACCAACATTAAATTTTGTTTAACCTTTAATTTAACCCATCAATCTAGATCATGATCTATTTTATAAAATGAATATTAGAATGAATATTTAAAAGTATGTACCTATTGGATCAAATAATAAATATCTATATGGATGAGAAGCTTGGAACTATGATTTCAAGTTTTCTCTCTCTAACAAACATATGAAATCCCTATATATGAATGAAGCAATCAACACAGAAAAAATCAAATTATAATATGTTATCAGATCATTAAGAAATACCTTATATGAGTTGATCCTCGATAACTTTCTCGATATCTAAGAATAGATTTGAAGAATTCTCATATCACTCTCGGCGTTTAGGGTTTGAAAGCGAGAAGGGGATGAATCAGATAAAACACGAGCTTTTATACAATTTTATAATAAAATTAGGGTGAGAAGCAACAAATCATAGAGAGACAAATGTCCTAGTATGTATTTTAAGAGAGATTATTTATGAGAGAAAATGTACACAGTTACAACGTAAAAGTTTTTATGTTGTCTACGTATTATCTATCATTCATATTTCATTTATTATAGACTTTTAAATATAAGTAATCCACATAATATATGATCCATTAATTGTGTATAATATTTTTCATTAATAGTACATAAATATTACGGTCATTAATTCTAATTTAAGTGAAGTCATTTATTCATAGGAAAAAGATGTGTTTATTTCCATTTATAATAAAAAACACATTTTTATTCGTTTATCATATACATTATAATTTAATATTTTGAAGATAAGATTGTTCTTTATTTAAATAATATTTCTATTTAGTCAAAAAAAAAATTAAAGGATACTAGGCCCATCTTACCATGTCCCAACCTTAAATTCTCTTCTCTTCTCTCAGTCCACAGTAACAAAAACAACCAAAACATACTCTATACTAGATATTATGGAAGGTGTTATGAATTTTGTCTCTCACAATAAGGTGTCAAAGTGAAAGGATTAAAAATCAATATTAGAACCAATAAAAATATTAGAACATTTGCAAAAATGAATATATAATATAGTGATGAGGGACAAAAAAAAATTAAAACATTTAAATTCATTAATATGGTAAATTAAGAAAAGTAAAATCTACTTTCTTAATTAACTATCATTATTCTACTAATGTATATATAAGAGATTTTTTTAATGGATATTTATAAAAGAAATTTAAAAAACATGAGAAGTTGTGGTGGCTTCAAGTCTTAGCTATGATTATGAAACCGATCAGCACATCAAACTAGAAGAGATTTTATATCAGGTTTAACAGGTTTAAATGGTTAAACCATTCGGTCAAACCAAATGATTTTATATATAATTAATAATAATCTATAAATATATAATATATATAAATACACATTTTTATATAATTAATAATTATGTATAATTATATTAAATTAATATTTCTACATATTTTTTCCACTGAAGTAAAATAAAAATATTAGAGTAAAATAAAAACATTACAAATCGAAATTTCCTTAGATTAAAATTGTTCAAGCCCTCTCATTCTATTAAGAATATAAACCATAATTGTTTTTAAGTCTGGTCAGCGATCAGACCAGTCAGACCGTCTGATGTGGTCCTCACAAAATTGTGATTAACACTGATATTTAAAGATTATAATACACTAATAAAATATTATCAAGGAATGTGCAATTTTCACAATGTGTATACATTGGTTAAGGTACTCAAATGTATTCAGTACAAAATCCCTCCAAATGTAACCCAAGTAATGATCTTATTTGGGCCAATGTAACCCAATTATTATGAATAAAGAGAAAACAAACAATATCAAGACATGAGTACAAAAGCAATTGCTTACAAGATTACAACAAATGAATGAAACAATCGCCCCCAAATCAAATCAAACATTATTAACAATTAAAAAACAAATGAATTGAAAACAATTTTGAAATATAAGATTTAATTCAAGAGGTCAAACTCTACATTCATTTCTTGTCCAATATTAAATCTTACTTAACCTTCAATTTAACCTATCAATCTTGATCATAGATCTATTTTATAAAATGAATATTAGAATGAATATTTAAAAGTATGTATCTATTGGATCAAAGAATAGATATCTATATGGATCAGAAGCTTGGAACTATGATTTCAAGTTTTTTCTCTGTCTAACAAACATATGAAATCCCTATATATGAATGAAGCTATGAACACCAAAAATATCAAATTATAATATGTTATCAGATCATTAAGAATTACCTTATATGAGTTGATCTTCGATAACTTTCTCAATATCTAAGAATAAATTTGAAGAATTCTCATCACTCTCGGCGTTTAGGGTTTGAAAGCGAGAAAGGGATGAATCAGATAAAACACGAGCTTTTATATAATAAAATTAGGGTGAGAAGCAACAAATCATAGAGAGACAAATGTCCTAGTATGTATTTTAAGAGAGATTATGTATGAGAGAAAATGTACACACTTACAACGTAAAAGTTTTTATGTTGTCTACGTATTATCTATCACTCATATTTCATTTATTATAGACTTTTATATATAAGTAATGCACATAATATATGATCCATTAATTGTGTATAATATTTATCATTAATAGTACATAAATATTACGGTGATTAATTCTAATTTAAGTAAAGTCATTTATTCATAGGAAAAAAATGTGTTTATTTCCATTTATAATAAAAAAACACATTATTTATTCGTTTATCATATACATTATAATTTAATATTATGAAGATAAGATTGTTCTTTATTTAAATAATATTTCTATTTAGTCAAAAAAAAAAAAATTTAAAGGATACTAGGCCCATCTTACTATGTCCCAACCTTAAATTCTCTTCTCTTCTCTCAGTCCACAGTAACAAAAACAACAAAAACATACTCTATACTAGATATTATAGAAGGTGTTATGAATTTTGTCTCTCACAATAAAGTGTCAAAGTGAAAGGATTAAAAATCAATATTAGAACCAATAAAAATATTAGAACCTTTGCAAAAATGAATATATAATATAGTGATGAGGGACAAAAAAAAATTAAAACATTTAAATTCATTAATATAGTAAATTAAGAAAATTAAAATCTACTTTCTTTATTAACTGTCATTATTCTACTAATGTATATATAAGAGATTTTTTTAATGGATATTTATAAAAGAAATTTAAAAAACATGAGAAGTTGTGGTGGCTTCAAGTCTTAGCTATGATTATGAAACTGATCAGCACATCAAACCGGAAGAGATTTTATATCAGGTTTAACAGGTTTAAATGGTTAAACCAATCGGTCAAACCAAATGATTTTATATATAATTAATAATAATCTTAAAATATATAATATATATAAATACAAATTTTTATATTATTAATAATTATGTATAATTATATTAAATTAATATTTCTACATATTTTTCGACTGAAGTAAAATAAAAATATTAGAGTAAAATAAAAACATTACAAATCGAAATTTCCTTAGTTTAAAATTGTTCAAGCCCTCTCATTCTATTAAGAATATAAACCATAATTGTTTTCAAGTCTGGTCAGCGATCAGACCAGTCAGACCGTCTGATGTGGTCCTCACAAAATTGTGATTAACACTGATATTTAAAGATTATAATACACTAATAAATATTATCAAGGAATGTGCAATTTTCACAATGTGTATACATTGGTTAAGGTACTCAAATGTATTCGGTAAAAAATCCCTCCAAATGTAACCCAAGTAATAATCTTATTTGGGCCAATGTAACCCAATTATTATGAATAAAGAGAAAACAAATAATGTCAAGACTTGAGTACAAAAGCAATTGCTTACAAGATTACAACAAATGAATGAAACAATCGCCCCCAAATCAAATCAAACATTATTAACAATTGAAAAACAAATGAATTGAAAACAATTTTGAAATATAAGATTTAATTCAAGAGGTCAAACTCTACATTCATTTCTTGTCCAATATTAAATCTTGCTTAACCTTCAATTTAACCTATCAATCTTGATCATAGATCTATTTTATAAAATGAATATTACAATGAATATTTAAAAGTATGTATCTATTGGATCAAAGAATAGATATCTATATGGATCAGAAGCTTGGAACTATGATTTCAAGTTTTTTCTCTGTCTAACAAACATATGAAATCCCTATATATGAATGAAGCTATGAACACCAAAAAAATCAAATTATAATATGTTATCAGATCATTAAGAATTACCTTATATGAGTTGATCTTCGATAACTTTCTCAATATCTAAGAATAGATTTGAAGAATTCTCATATCACTCTCGGCGTTTAGGGTTTGAAAGCGAGAAAGGGATGAATCAGATAAAACACGAGCTTTTATATAATAAAATTTGGGTCAGAAGCAACAAATCATAGAGAGACAAATGTCCTAGTATGTATTTTAAGAGAGATTATTTATGAGAGAAAATGTACACACTTACAACGTAAAAGTTTTTATGTTGTCTATGTATTATCTATCACTCATATTTCATTTATTATAGACTTTTAAATATAAGTAATGCACATAATATATGATCCATTAATTGTCTATAATATTTTTCATTAATAGTACATAAATATTACGGTCATTAATTCTAATTTAAGTGAAGTCATTTATTCATAGGAAAAAAATGTGTTTATTTCCATTTATAATAAAAAACACATTTTTTATTCGTTTATCATATACATTATAATTTATTAAATAATATTTCTATTTAGTCAAACAAAAATTTTTAAAGGATACTAGGCCCATCTTACCATGTCCCAACCTTAAATTCTCTTCTCTTCTCTCAGTCCACAGTAACAAAAACAACCAAAACATACTCTATACTAGATATTATGGAAGGTGTTATGAATTTTGTCTCTCACAATAAGGTGTCAAAGTGAAAGGATTAAAAATCAATATTAGAACCAATAAAAATATTAGAACATTTGCAAAAATGAATATATAATATAGTGATGAGGGACAAAAAAAAATTAAAACATTTAAATTCATTAATATGGTAAATTAAGAAAAGTAAAATCTACTTTCTTAATTAACTATCATTATTCTACTAATGTATATATAAGAGATTTTTTTAATGGATATTTATAAAAGAAATTTAAAAAACATGAGAAGTTGTGGTGGCTTCAAGTCTTAGCTATGATTATGAAACCGATCAGCACATCAAATTGGAAGAGATTTTATATCAGGTTTAACGGGTTTAAATGGTTAAACCATTCGGTCAAACCAAATGATTTTATATATAATTAATAATAATCTTTAAATATATAATATATATAAATACAAATTTTTATATAATTAATAATTATGTATAATTATATTAAATTAATATTTCTGCATATTTTTTCGACTGAAGTAAAATAAAAATATTAGAGTAAAATAAAAACATTACAAATCGAAATTTCCTTAGTTTAAA